ATTTTGCTTTGTTAGGTGGGACCGAAAATCTTTCCAATTCGTCAGTTTGCTGTAGCGTCTGATGTCGCCATTTCGCAAGTAGGCGTGATTTATTAGAATGAGAAAATGGTCACTCCCACGTGTTTCTACATGCCTTGTCCATACCACACCATTCACTAGATCTTGAGAACACATGGTTACAACGATGCAACTCGAGTAATTATGCCCTCGGAGAAAAGTTGGGGAGCCGTCATTTAAAATTGTCAAATTGCATTTGTCTGCGGCACACTCAACAATGCTCCCACGTGCATCACATCGATCACTACGCCAGATTATGTTGTGCGCATTAAAGTCTCCGCATATAGGCCGAAGCTGGAGTATGCGAGTATCGTGTGGGACACCCATACTAAACAAAACGTTAAAAAACTTGAAAGGATTCAGCGGAAGGCCATTCGGTTTGTTTATTCTAGGTTTTTGCGAACGGACTCCCCCCCAGACCTAATGCTAGCTAATAATATTCCTTCCCTTCAGGATCGTAGAAAGAAGTCCCGCCTTGATTTTCTGTCTCTTTTATATAGTCGCAAACTTTCCCTTGATCCAACCCCTTTTCTTTCTCCATTAAACACAAGACCGACAAGACATCGCCAACCAATTGCACTAACTCCGTACTTAGCGAGAACCGACACGTTCAAATTTTCATTTTTTCCACGCACAATTTCAGACTGGAACCAGACAATCGAATGTAGTACTTGCGATACTGAGTAACTGTGTACTGTTTTTTTGTTTTGTTTTGCGTGTATTGTATTTCTCTTTGCATTACACCATGCCCTCCTGCTTGGACCGAAGTGTGGTCTGCAGTATGTATTAAATAAATAAATAAATAAATAAATAAATAAACTTATATGAATTAGAAAAGTTGAAAATATTTGTTAGTTCTTCCACCGAAATGCGGCTTGAAGGTTGTACGTAAAAATTGATCACTGTTACGCACTGCTCACCAAAGGATACTTTGCAAGCGACGAATTCCGGGAAGTCCGAATCACTTGAGTGAACTTGGTGAGAAGGTAGGTCCTTTCTGACGCAAAAATGCACTCTGCTAGGACCACTTCGACGAGATGACTTATATATCACGTAGTTGGAGAGGCGGAAATCAACATTCATTCCTGCCTCTTGGATGCAAAGTATTGGAAAGTTATACTGCAAAAGGAGTTTACGGAAGTCAGCACACTTCCTTCGAAGACCATTGGCATTCCACTGGTATATGGAGACATCTTTGTAGCGCTTATTCATATATTACTTGTCGCAGGTTTGACCCGGATTGTTGACACAATAGTGCTTCCAGAGGCAGCAGGGCTTTTACTTCTGGCAGGTTGTTTGCTTCCGGTAGAGCAGACAAGATTGCCTTAAGTGCTGCGAAAAGCATTGGTAGAATCAATTGCATGACTGATGCAGAGGCATGGTCTTCGTTGAATGATTTATTCTGTGAGGCCTGTTGAGAATGACGTGACGTTTCGATATTGTAGTTGGGGTGAACACTGGCACTGTCGGTTTTGCTACTTTCCGGCAGAGGTCGCGTGGGCGTTCGCAGCTTTGACGCGTAAGTTGGGTTACTTGGAGGTACTTCTCGTGAGTGGTCTCTCGGGTGTGCTCTTGGTGGTTCTCTTGGCAGTTCTCTTGGCGTGTTTGTCGGCTGTTGTTGCGGTGGCCGCTGAGGTGGATCACGTACAGGATAAATAATCTCAAGGTTTGGAGATGGTTCATTGGGGCGCGGTTTTCTTCCATGGGTGAGTTCATGCCGACGCATTTTTGCAGCAGCTTTGCTTTGCGGGCAGCCAGAATATGAGGCAGTGTGATTACCTGCACAATTTCACACTTAGGCTGAAGAACTGACTTCCACTTCTTATGATGGTGTTCTTCTGAGCAGATCTTACACTGGCGTGTGTCACGGCAACTTTTCGCCATGTGTCCGAATCGCTGGCAGTTATAGCACCGAAGTGCTGGACCAAGATATTCTTCTACTGGGTGACTGGTGAATCCTAAGTAGATTCTTCCTGGAATTGGGCGGTCATCTCAAAAAGTCAGAATCACTGAGTGAAGTGGACGCGACGTTACTCCTCCATCTTCCTGGCGATAGTATTTTATTTGCCCTCGTGCCGATATAACCCCTGCATCTCTCAAGTACTCTGAGAGTTGTTCATCTGAATACTGCAGAGAAACGTGTTTTACTTTCCCAACGTTCCGAGTGTATGACTCTGGCATGGAAGGCTTAACTTCCAGGCCACTTACATTCGAAACCATCAGAAGACGCTTGGCTGAACTTAAGGAAGCAACGCTCACACTGAAGCTTCCATCTCTGGTCGTTCTGAATCACTGCACTTTTTCTTTAGCAGCGGAAACTACTTCGGCTGACACTAGATTGGGGTTCACTTTCCAGAAGCTAGCACCTTCAGCTGTTGGACGAAAGACGACTGGGATACCCTCCGCTCGTTTATTTTTATAAGTAACCAACGTAAATGGTTCATCTTCGTCCATGTATTCTTCGTCACTTAGGTAATAGGTTGACGCTTTATCGTCGAAAGGATTCTCTTCTAAGCGAAGCGTCTTGCTCTCAGCTTCATCGTCTTCTATTGCTGCTGTGCTCGCTGGCGCCATTTCGCGGTTGTGAATGAGCAAACGGGCCGGCTTTATGATGCTTGGGCGCACATGTAAGCTCCCAGGCTTTTCATTGTGTCCTGCAGTATCACTCATGTGGTTTAACGCACTTGGACGAGCATAAGGCTTGTGGCGATGGCTACCAACCACCGTAGTGATCGCGTACTAGCCAAGTCTTTGATGAAGGAACCTCGTACTTGTAGGGCTCCGAGCCCTCGAAGTCTTCATTCGACGTCTTGTTGGCACACCGCGAAGAAATGGAGGTCAGCGTAATAATTCAAGAAAAGAGCAGAAATTGAACAGTGCAAAAAAACAGCGACCGAACAGATCCACTTCTTCTTCTTCTTCTTCTTCCCTTTGGAGATGGCGGTACTTGGAGTGTTCACTGGATGGACGCACAGACGGGCTGACAGAAAGACTAGCAGACGGACAGACGGATGGGTAGACGCGCGAACGTACGGATGGATGGACGCCCGAACAGACAGACAGGCAGATAGATAGACGGACTCACGGATGGACGCACGGAGACAGATGGGCGCACGGATGGTCGCGTGGACGGATGAAAGCAAGAACGAACGGACGGAAGGAAGCACGGATGGGCTGACGGACGCTTCGCCCCACTCATCATCATTCACTCCGTGGATATGCTGTGAATTTTTTCAGTGTTTTGCGCGAGTACTGGAAAATCGCAATAATTTTCTAAGTATCGAAGGCAGCGGTGGTGATAGCGGTGGTTCCCCAGAGGCAGAACGCATGTGAACATTTTCGACGCGCGCGGTCATGCTTTTCTGTCTGCTCCGGCGTTTTCGTTTACGCTTCACATCTCGCGTGTCAATGTGGCCGTAAGTATACCATTGTTCTCGGTTAACTTTTTGCTGAAGACATTGTTGGTTTGGCAACTGGAAGTTATTACAAAGAAAAATGAGGAATTGTGGTAAGGTTCTCAATATAAGGTATGTTTGGTAAATTATTACAGATCTCATGTATTCTGTTAATAGAGTTTATGCGAGGCAGTCCCCACCATGCATGTTTTCTGAAAGCGAGCCTACTTTTTTCAGGTGGACCGACATTGTTATTTAGCTTGAGCAGCTGTGTGGGGGGGGGGGGATAACCAGACACGCAAATTACGCGGACACGTAAAATGTACGCAGCTCACACACCGTCTTATGCTGGCACTCGCGTTAGAGCGCACACGTCACTTTATTTGAAATGAAGTATGTATGATTGGTTTTAGCAGAAACCCTTACGTATTGAAATTTTGAACTGGTAACTCTAGACTATGGTTGGTAGTATCGTAGGCATGCAATCGAAACAATGCTGACAATTGTCACTTATGGTTTCATGTCATAAAATCAATATAGACTACCATGGGTGCCGTAGGGGAGCTCTCCAAGAATTTCAACCATCTGATGTTCCTTAGCGTTCTCTGATATTGCACAATACAATGGCCTTTTTTAATTTCGCCCGCATCGAAGTGCGACTTCTGCGAACGGGATTACACGTGTTATCTTCACTTCATTGTTGTAGAACAAGTAATCAAAACTGCTGTCCCCGTTCACGTAAGACAAGGGCTACCACCGCTTCTATATTAGGCATATGTTCAAGTAACACATTTATTCATTGCCTAAATCACATGCTTACTGGCTAAAGTTCATTGCAGCAGGTATTTCAGCACTTATTTTCTGCAGCTTTATTCTCTAACTATAACAAACCATAAGAAATTCTCTTATTTTTCCTGCGTAAGTTGTCTGATGGCGTTTCCAGTGGTTACATTCTCTCTGCCCCCCATTTGAAACACCCCATTGTGCGTGGTACGTGAGCAGGTGCCCACGTGACTGGGGGGAAAGGATGCAACAGACGTGTGTTTTTCATGCAAACATTTGTGCCTGTATTAATATGTGTTACCAGATCAGTGAAGAGATAAATAGCAAAGGCAACATTTTTTTCATACACGTACGTTTACTCACTCCTCATGTTACTTCATGGCAAAGAAGCTGCAGTACTGAATGAAAAGTTGGCATAGAAAATACATATATTAATCATGAATCTGAGCATACTATAAATAGGGAAGGACTGGCTGCCGCTTTAACTAACTCGAGGCACGGTAGATTTGAAGGACATACGCAGTTTTTGCCTGTTTGCTTGTTTTGCAATTTTCCACGTAAAGTCAACGAAAAAAATGTAGAAGTAAGCAATGATATAGGACAATTAGCCACTGTAGCTGTTTCTTACGCTCGCACAGCGATGACGCACACGATAGGATATATAAATTCTTACAAAATATATTCCAAGTTTTTTTTAACACAGAAATTTATTTAAACTTGAAATAATATTTAGAAGCCTTTCACGCATTGTTCGAAGGTTCCAATTGTGCTAGAGTTACCAAGAGTCAGTGGTAAGCATTTCTATTCGATGAGGGTTCGTGGTTAGGTACAAATGCAAGTACTCACTACAAAGTGAGCACTTCCTTGCGAGGACACCATGAGCGGTGAGCGCAATACCTTTGGTTTTCCGGTAACGAGATCAGCTGCAATTTTAATGCTAAACTAAATTTGTGTGGGTGAAATAGTAAGAAATTCAATGACATAAAGAAGAGTCAGCTTTGTCTTGTTGTTGTTGTTGTCGTCGTCATCGTCGTCGTCGTCGTCATTGTTGTTGTTGTTGTTGTTGTTGTTGTTGTTGTTGTTGTTGTTGTTGTTGTTGTTGTTGTTGTTGTTGTTGTTGTTGTTGTTGTTGTTGTTGTTGTTGTTGTTGTTGTTGTTGTTGTTGTTGTTAGCACCTTGTGCATTCTACAGGCCTAATATTTTGAATTAAGTTGTTTTCATGGGGTTCGTGTGAGCAAATTTCTTCTCACATGTTTACGAATGTTTACATTAAATAAGGAAAAGCAGAGAATCTCTCAATGGTCGTTGCCTTGTTTCACACGGCCTAAGTGCATAACCAAATGTTGGTTTTTCATTAAGGTACAACAAGTGCGTACACCAAGTTTCTGATTAAGGTACACCGCATAAATGTGCGACTCCTTCACTTTAGATAAATAACTGCTTCTAATACAGGCCTAGCCAAATATTTCAAAACCTCTCCTTCCCTTGAATTTACCCATTTTCGACGAGCATATATACAAAATGCATATAAGATATAGCAGAGCGCGATATATAAAAAACTGCGTTACTACTCGACGCACACTTAGTAGATATTGTTCCCACAATACTGCAGCAGCCGGTTCTATTTTCGCATTTAGGAGGTTTACTTTAGTATTCCGATTCATGTTTCTGTACCTCAAGAAACAGTCACGAAATCATTAACGTACCAATAAGTCATATTTAGTGATCTTCAAACAATATCTGAATGTGATATTTTCAACAACGCACTAATTGCATGGTTATTTTTATTTATTTTCCTAATAAAGAACGTTTGCGGAATAAAAAAAATGGCACTTGCCTAGACTACAGTGCGCATTAGAAAGTAGTGACCTCAAAGCCAACCACTTTGAGGTAGCATGTCAAGACTTATACAATCCCACCATTTGCCTGTGAGAGAGTAGTGACGCGTTATTTATCATATTTCGCATGCTTCCTTTATCTGTCCAAAAAAGTTGGCGCTGAATCAGAGCGTTTCCAAAAGGAGCGCTGTTAGATGTCATTTTAACATGGTTACATGTGTCTTAGTCATATTTAATAATCAAATGAGTATTTGTCGAATAAAACATAGTTATGACTAATGAACTAATGTTCACTAACAAAAACATATAGTGACTACTAATTTCTTGCAAAATTTTATTGAAAATTTTTAGAACGTTAGAAACGACACAAATTTATATAAACTTTCTTTTTCAATTCATTCGTCTATTTTTATGTTTAAGTAAATAGAATGAACGTTTTCAGAAGGGGAGAGAAAAATATTCTAAATGCTAAATGTCTTGGGAAAAATGTCCTTTTCGAAATCCAAGTATAATTTATGCTATAGTGGCAATAGATTACTTTTGTAAAGTCAGAATACTACAGCAATTAAAAATTTCACTGAGTACGATATGCACTTACTTTTTTTAAATGTGTTGTTTTTAGTAAACAGTCAAAAAAATATACGCCTATATCTTTAAAATAAGTTAGTTAAATTTCAATTTGTTGCTGAGTAACTTAAAATTTAAAGCTTTTAGTACAGCACACCGGGAATAACATTCACTAGGAGTGCATCGCATAACGGTGTTCCTATTTTTCAAATGTGAATATTTTTACAACAAGCAGTGGCTCTTATTAGGCACTATGAGTTTTATTTGTAGTAGGAAAAGCACTGAGTACCTTCTCCGAAATTCTGCCTGAGTATCGGCTTGTTGCCTCTTCAGTTGTGAATTTGATTATAAGAATTGCATTGAAGTGTTTCTATAGAAATGTAGCGCAACTGTGCCTTTATTATCCTTCGCTGAAGACACCTTAAAACGTACTTTGTTGAACAATGTTGTCGGCTTACTATTTAAGACAAAGCTTTCGAGCAACCACTCGCTCGATTGTGCAGGAGCTTCTATAACCAGTTCCGTTTGTATTGGTATACCTCAATGCAGAGACTGAAGCTGTTTGATGGAAGGTACATGCTTTAAGCCTCTCCTACAAAATGAAGACAATGCAGCTATTTTCCCTGTTTTGTACAATGATAATCGTATTTGCTGCCTTTTCCGCCAGCAAAAAGACGTGTAAGTGTTTGTTTTATCAGTACTGTTATTCTACTACAATAACTTCATGCATTTTTTTTCCAAAATATAGCTATAATGCCACTTTATTCCTACGTTGCCTAAATTAGATTAGTCATTAGGTAATATTGGTGCTCGTAGGCCGTCTTGATGTACGTCAAAAGTGTTGTTGTGAGCGTGAATTTGATTTGTCAAATATGTCCAAAACTGCCCGAGTGAACGTTAAGTAGTGATTATACTGCAAAAAAGTCATCCGTCCTATCCACATTCTCGAAATAGAAACCAACATATAAACACATTTCCTTCACACCTTTTTTTAATGAACCACATTCTCCGCTAAATATCAAGGCAAAGCACGTAAAGTGTGTGTTTGCAAAGGTGCGGTAAGGTATTTTTATTTCTTATCGCCACCTTCATCTTTCGGGGTTTTTCTATTACAGTCTTCGCTGTCTCGAAACCGAGAAGAGCAGTTGTTTTGTAACAGGTGGCTTGGAGCTGCATCCGTTATCACCACATAATGTATAACTATTAAGACCCGCTTCTTTAAAATTCAAGCAAAATAATCACTGCTGTTTTGAAAGTAATCTTGGTGACTAAGTTACGAACAATCTTACGTGTTTTTAAGTGTCAAAATCGCGCAATGAACAGGCACAACGCCTTTCGGGACACCACATTTATCTTTGAAAACATGGCGTAGCTTCACGAGCACAAAATTTTCAGTTAACTAGTATATCAGTATTACTGCTACTTGGGTAAGCTGGCATCGGTTCATAATTAAATTCACCAGAGTTGAACAAAACGATTGGACTCATCAGTGAAGAAACGACGCATGCTTAATGTAGTGGTTCTTGTATGCGTCGTTCCTATATCTAACAGTATCTCAGTTGATTGTTGGATCTAAATGTGACCAGTGCGGCTTAGAAACGGTTCGAAGTCGTCGAGCTGTGTAGCAGACTACATCTCAGCGATTATTTCGTAAGGCATGAAAAAAAGTTATGATGCAAATAATTTTTCGCTACTTAGTATTGATATTTTTAGATTGGCGGATCCTATTCAAAATTGGCCGGTTAATTGAAGTATTTTATTCAGGGCATGCAGTTCCGTTTGAAGGAGTCTAAGTGAGCGTACAACTTGAAAAGAAACCAGTAGCTTGAATAACGAGTAGCGCTCCAACGATGAATGTCACTGTCTATAACCATACCTATAATTTTTTTTCATGCTATACCGACGACGCTAAGTGCCGCAGGTGTAATCGCTTAATGCGGTATACCAGGTTTGACCCCATTTAGTGCTATTGTTTTTTGAGACCGGCTCAAAAATATGTTGAACAAAAAGGAAATTTTTGCGTTCTTATTGAGCGCTGAAATTTATTGTAATTTCTGAAGACCTTCTGTACGCACTTTTCTTACTAGTAACAGATTCAAAACTATGCAAACAGACAGCAGTTTGCGAACACCAATGGGAAATTCTCTGCCGCTCAGCAGGTGGACACTGGTTATTAACTTGTGGTAAGTACTTGAGCAATTCTATAAACCTGAGGATCTGAACCTGCTTGTCCAATTTTATGGTTCCAAAAGGCGACGATACACACGGCACAAAACAGAAAAACGGAGTCTAAAAAAACTATCCCATTTCGCTCCGTGAACCTGTATAACAGAGCAAATCACACGATGAGGAGATTACAGAATCTTGAACAGAGCTACTAACTAATTTAATAGACTATTTTAGCTATGTGTGCGCAACCGTGCTGCGACATCAAGCCATTAAAAAAAAACAGATTGTGTCTGAGAGCTGCCGTGGACGCTTAACTGAATGTCTCGACTGTCTTGATCGATCGTCACTATTTATTGTGTTTGCAGAGTCATTAATATTTTTACGGTGGTGGTGTCGATGGCTTTGTCGCACGAGCCGACACTGATCGGCCCATGTACAAACTTGGAGGCATCCTTCGCCAGAGCACAGCGTATAACCCCTGACAGGTAGTGAGTAGTGCGGATCGTTCCATTTCTGTGTCAAGTGGATCCGAAGCGCTCATACAGTAATCGTGTTAGCCACTTTTTGCCCTGTCAGGAGATAATGATGTTGCAATCACGAACGACTATTATGGATTTCAGTCGGTCTGTCATGCCAGACCCAATGAAAACGCGTTCGCATCATTATCCTCATCTTGTTCTGGAGTGTATTCACAGAAATGTGCAGTTTACAACAAAGTCTATACAGTGAATGCCGAGATGGTTTTGAACAGCTGTGTTTTGGTGATAATATTGCTTCTGTAAACACTCACTTAATGTAGCATTATTGTCACGTAATTACAGCAGTTCGACGTCATCTGGGCATTCACTGTAGAGATTGTGGTTGTAAGCTGTATCTTTTAGAGTGCATTATTGTCGCGAAACATCGCGAGCACCTCACACACACAATCATCGAGGTTAATGTTAATCAAAAACTCGGTGACCTTTATGTTACCGTGCGTTTCATTGCGCTCACTAAAATAATAATTTTGTATCTGCCTACGACGCAACATGTTGTGCACTTGTTATGAGATGTGCTGTTTGTATCATGTTTATACATTTTTATCAGTTTTTCTTATAAAATAAGCTAAACCCAGCTCCCATGTTGTTCTTTTCCTTGTCCTCAATTTTTTTTTCTGTGCAAAGATGTTGATTGCGAATCACCAACTAGCCGAAGAAATAAATTTATCATGATTACTAACTACCTGATAAATGAAGTACAGTACTTCTAATTTTGTGATAATTTAGCTTTTTAGCATAGTAATGTGATTGATACGATTTAACGCATTTGAAAAGCCAATAACGTACCAGTGTCCACTGTTTTTCGTTAATATTGTTTGAAAATCGAGGAAAGATTGCAAGGTTTAGACAGACACATCAAAAAATTGGACATCAGTATGTTTCGGCACATCTAACTCTCAATAAATATAGCTTTCACGCATGTTATTTGTCAGCATAGCCCACTTGACGTACACTTTCTTCCATTACGTGATATCCCGTTCCCTGCCCAGAAATTCAAACAAGTTTTTTTTTTTCGCTGTGGACTTTGTTTTGTTCTGTTTGTTTTTTACCAGGAGAAAATAGAGTAGTCTGCCGGAGCTATTGGCGATCGACTTGTGCCCGACCATCTGTTCGTTTTTGCCAATCAAGCAGGGTACATTGCATGTGTCGTTGTGGTGAGTGAAAACGAAATACTTTTACTTAGCAACAAAAAACGGTACGTGTTAAAAAACTGATAACATTGATTTTAAATGTGCTTCTGTATTTAAAATATTTAATGACAAACCGAATGTGCCAATGTCGTTTACAATTTTTTTCTACATTATACTGGAAGCACTCGAACTGATTTCAGCAATCAAAATTATGAATAAATCAAAGCCGCGGGAAAATTTTCTATAACTTAAACTGTTGACACGGACATTCCCATTAAAGAACTCATCCACTCGCAACACAAAACACTCTGTGAGCGCCAGTTGGGTCTTCTTTGTTAAGCGTTTTCTACACTTTCAGCCATGTCGTCTCACTTTAGCGTCAATTGACTGTGCCGCAAAGCGTTTACAAGTATATGTTACCTGTATTTTGCTTTGACCATTCTTCCTTCTTTATATCTCACTTTGAGACATTCCACTTTTTATCGCATTTTCATCTTTTTCTTCACCTAATCTTCAGCGCTTGTGAGCCCCCTAACAAGCTTTGCAAATGGAAATTAAGTCATTCATTTTAACTTTCCGCTTTCTTCAATAGAAGATAGCAGCCATCGTTACCAAGCCTTCCACAGTCTCGGGCAACTTACGGTGAATGGCATTACATGAGAGCAAGTTTTCAAAAAGTTACCAAAAATGGGCCACTTAAACATTTGTTTGGTGTTTATTATGAATGAGCTTATAATGTGTGCGATATTCCACCAGATTTTCTTTGAATACCGATTTCTAATAAGAAAATAACACGGTTCGGCATATAAAGTTTTATTTTCTGTCTGTTTGGCTCTGTGTACAAGTTTACAAGAAAGTAAATTTTAGGCTGATGCGCGTAATAAATATATGCACAAAATCCAGCATCTGCGCAAAGAAAACAAACGTCCCGAAAATATTGGTGCCAGCAGTACAGTATGGTGGTGTTTCACCTGCTTTACTGGTTATGCTTGCTCAGAATTATGATTGGCATGGTTCTGCATAGGTATAAAACAAATTAGCACTAAATAAAGATATCATTTGCAGCACCCTACGAGAAGCTCTTTTATCTTGATCACGTACCGAAAAAAAAATCACATTACCAACACGCTGCAGGATTGTCAGAGCGAGCGAAATGCTGATATAATGGCGAAAATTTCTCATAAAGGTGCTGAGCTACGAGGGTAGTTCTGGTTGATTCGCTAATTTTGCGGTGAGGGCTCATGATTTACATGAAATTCCGTAAGTAAAAATATTTAAAGCTTCACAGCTGTTTTCGAGGCATCAAGGAAGTGAGCTGAAGTCTATAAAGAGTTTTAATATTAAAATTCAACACCTGCGTTACGATGTAGTGAATTCCGCAGCTTATAGCAGACGTCGAAATTTTGATTCAGCCAGTGCAAGTATCCTACTACCTGATAAATTGCATAAATGAACAAAAATGAAGACGTACGAAAGTTGTATCAGCATCTTTCTTTGAATTCATTAAGTTCCTCTTCTTTTTCACAGCAAGAGCAACCAGTTTGTAGAAGAACTTATGATCTCAAAAGTACGTATAGTTGGTTTCTGCGTGCTCTTTTCATTGTCGGTTACAACTTAATAAGTACAAGCTCTGCACTTACAACTGTTACGCGTCTGTCATTCGTCTAAGCTAGAGAGCCGTACCAGGTGCTTTTCATTCCAAACTTAAATACTTCTTCGTGGCTAACCTAATCAATGCGCATATTTTTAATCAAGAGCTTCGTCGTCTCTACTTCACATATTGCTTTTTTTTTGCGGCAGCATAAATGTAAAAATCCCTGTCAAAATTAGTCAGAAAATTAGTTTTTAACGAAACACGAGGGACACGATCATGTTTCCGTGCAAGAGAATCACGTATACCTGAAATTTGCAAAAAGTGTGTGACGGCATCCGGCATGGTTATCTAGTGCTTAAGGCACTTGACTGCTAATCCGAAGGTCATGGGATCAAATCACGGCTGCTTTGACGGCATTTACGGTGGAGGCGAAAATGTTTGAGGCCCGTGTAGTTAGATTTAGGTGCACGATGAAGAACCGCAGGTGGCTCGAATTTCCGGAGCTTTTCTATGGCGTCTCTCATAATCATATGGTGTTTTTGGGACGTTAAGCCCCGACAATTATTATTAATACATGATGCCGTGGAAACCACCTAATGCAAATAAACGAAGCACCGATGCATTTTTTTTTTTTGGCATGAGACAGTGGTGGCTGTTGGTGTAACTTACAGATACTGTTCTATTGTAAGTATACCTTCAAGTTTACATGCCTTGATGTTCGTCAAGTTTACGTGGTCTTTACAAAAGTGCCTCTTCTCAAATTCACAGGTTCATATTTACTTTTTAAGGTGTTAGTCAACTGGCTAAACTTAAAAGAAAATTATCTTCAAATATGTAAACTTGCTGCAGCAAGAACTTTGGTAGTTGGTGCCGTACATTGGTACTTGCGAAGTTCTTTAGTCGGAAGTACAGATTAGGCCCAAACCTACGTAGTGAGTAACACTGTGCGTCAAAAGGTGATTTGCCGTTGAAAGTAAGATGCTCACGATCTTCTGAGAAGCACGCTCACACCAGTTTTATACTGTACTAGAGCGAAAACATCATGACTCTTAACAGCCTAATAACAGCTACGAATAGCCGTAACTACAATGTTGGTTGGTGCGTTAGCCATGAAGTGTCGGTAAAGCTGCCTGTTTCATAATGCTAAGTAGGAAAAGCTGGTGGGACGGGCCTTCTTGTTCATGAGGTCGAGCCGAACATGAACACTTTTTATCAACATTGCCTGACTGACGCACTTATTCTTAACCGAAGTCTTTGATCTAAGAGCTAACGTTCCTAATTTAGGCGTTGGTTGTCGAGAACTACCCCTGTTGGTTGACAATTTCGCAAGCCTTCTTTACAGTGCCTTCAATCATATCATGATTTAGGCGCATAAAAACCCACAAACTATTAATAGGTGTAGTGTAAGGGAAACAACGAAGTTTCATATAGTTTTTAGGATGTGTCACGTATACGCGGTAGTATAGCCAGCAAGTTTGGGGGAGGGGGAAGAATAATCCCTCCCCGCTTGGCTTTTTCAGTGCTGGATGACCTCCCAGTTGCCTCTTCTTCTATGTTTTTCCAAATAGAAATTCAGTTGAGAGCGGGTGTATGTCCCGCGCATTCATTCTTTGTATGTGCACTAGCGCTGCACCACTCTGACTACGAATACTATGTAAAAACACATGAATATTTCTAAAGGAGCTCAAAAGCATGGTTTAACTAAGACCCCTATATTGTGCTTGCTCTTAGTAGGCATACCGTGAGAGGCACACGCACACGCGACCTAACTTCCGGAAGCCCTTTATATCTGTTTATGAATCATTATGATAGGTTGTTCTAGTGAGGAATACTCGTACTAATAAAAACTTGAAACAGGGGCCATGGCGTATTTGTAACTGTAGAATGATGTGTGGGCGTGTATTCTACGCGTCAAAATCAAATCTCTTGAGCATTGGTAATTGAGCATTGTCTTCCATAGTACTTTCTTTAGTGTGCAGGTTTCAACAAAAGTGGCATTTTTTAAGCTCTCATTTTACTAGCCCAAAAGTTTATTTCTGTGTATTTATCTATTTTCCTTTTTTTTACTAACATTTGAGAAAGCACAATTATTTAGTGCTGTGGAGTGTGCGCTAATGTTCGCTGCGAGTGTTCCAGCACGGTAAACATTTACAGATACTACCATACTTTGCGGACTGGTTATTAGGAATATATCATAGGTTGAGAGGTTTGTTGTACTTAATGCGGAAGCACCCACCGCATTTTAGCTGCTAATTGTGTTAACATTAGTATGGGCCGGTGTCCAGTTATATCAACCATGCATAAACGTAATGGTGGCCAGTGATATGAGCTGCTTCAATGCAGCGCTACGGCAGATATGGAATATAAAAAGCAGAGTTTATTCTGACATTCTACATGATGGAGTGCGCTAAGGCCTACACATCTTCAGTGATCCCAGCGAAGGATTTCTCCTCATATATGCTAAATTGGATGTCTTAGAATTCGTCGCTGATCCTCCCACGGCATGACCAGACCACAGTCTCTCCGGTGCTTCCAAGTTTCTGTTCTTGTTGCCGTCCAACGTGTAACCTATATCGTGGATGTTACATCATGGGTCCACGTTGCCACTTTGGTTACCTTTGTCAACAGTGTTCTTCATTTTGACACGTTACAAAACAGAAGAATATGTTCAAGTTCGCTGGAAACTAACGTTCAAGTTTACAGCTAAATCTCAGCTCTTCCTCTCTCAGGAGCCGGTTACCGATGGTGCAGGTGACATGTTGCTGATTTTGAAAAAGAAAAGATTGACATTTAACTCTTCACTAAAGACCATTTATCATTCGTAATCTTGCAATGTACTTTCTGCTCACCATATTTGGTGTGTCCGAGCACATAGTACTCGGAGTCTCACTGGCAGATTCTTTTTCTGTCTATCTCGTAATTCCGATAGGTCCAGATGACACTCCTTGTCTGTTCGTGATGCCGTTCGGCGACTTCCATATGCCTATGGTGTAGGAGTGCATCGAGCAGCTAGCGATAGACAAGAGAAGTGTTAGAACAGCGGCGCCTGGCATGCATTAACAAGGAAATTCCGCTATGACTACGTTTCTGTTTTTTTTAGAATCTGTTCATTGTTAGTCCGCATAACCTCCAGCACCACTAGTATTTTGCTGTAAACAGCAAGTTATCGAACGTGCCCATTATCGCCCCCAGCTCTTTCGTTACGTCCGCTATGAAGTGGATATTTCGGATGAAGCAGACACTTCAGAAGTTCGGATAAGCGATTACTGGTCTTTTATGAAAAACTGAGTGCTTCTGCGGTACGTTAGGACATAAGAGTGCCTCATATTTACGGGACAAAATAAAATTAACGCACTAGAGCAGTTCGGCAAACCGATCACTAGCCCACTAGCCACTGCATTAGCTTACGGTAGTCGAAAATAAGGTTGAAGAGCGATAGTTAGATCCATACTTGCTTTTCAAAACGTATTAGTCTACTTTAACTTTGGGGTGGCAGTGCTTTCAAACTTATTCACGTTTTCTACATTATTTTACCTATTCATCAGAACAGGCCAGTGGCACCAGCCTATGAATTATCATTGATATGAGGAAAAGTTTGGAGAATGCCACACAGATTCGAGTCATGGAGAACTCGCAGAGGAACAAAGCAATGTTCACTCAGCAGCCGAAAAAAACGAGATTTTATCTCGTTTCATTGAAATGCTTCGACCCAGAGTTATCGGTAAACCAACGATTCGCGAGTTGATTTTTTGGAACTGTTGTCAGCATGGCACCCATAAATAAAACAACATCACGATACTATTCAAGCGTTTTACCACAGTGTTTATTTCACAATCGGAGCACATTGCCTCGTAAGGATTGTAATGAGCCGTTGAATGTGTTGTGCGTGTAATGCGGTAATTACAATGGTTAACACCAGCTTTCACTATGGTTACCCGGTGACACACCGAGCTGCACGTTTCAGCTTTGCTGGTTAACCCTGTGTACGGAGTGCTAGGGTGGTGATATCACTAAGGAAACGTCATGACACTTTTAAAGACGGGAGTCTCTGTCTGTATGTCTTTCTATGTTTGTCTGTCTGCCATACGATTCAGCCACCCGGCCAAAGTTTAGGCACTTGCTGAACGTCCAGCCATCTTGAACTGATGGCTGCGTTCACACTTGTGAACATTGTCGATCGAAAAGGAACTATTATGTCTAATGCGAAAGTATTATGTGATGTTTTTTTTATTGTTTCTGTAATTCTTTTCCTCTTCGTCTTGTTCACATTGTCTGATCGATAACATCTCTATCACTTCTCTTTGGCACCCCTTTGTTCTACCAAACTTTCTTTCTTTCGAGTTGAGGAGCTGTGTCGTAGTAAGCGTGGGTCTCACTACCTATCGGACTTGGTGACCTAAGTTTACCTCAGCACCCAAGTTGAGGACTGAGGTCATAACTGGTAACAAGTAAGCTGGCTCTGGTACGAGACAACTTAAGGTATGCGCGGCACAGCAGCCTTGGTTAGACCCAGGATAGCAGCGGAGTCAAATGCGGTCGCTGGAACTTGTGGTCAAGCTGCAAACTGCATGGTGTCATGGACGAGGATGGTCCAAGAAAGAACCAGGTGAGTATATAGCTTGACTATAATCAAAAATACGTCCATTAGGAGGAGGCTTAGCATTTCTTTCAATAGAGTGTACAATTTACACACTACAGGTAAGTTTTCAAGAATGAGTGAACGATGACATTTATTCTGCATTGTTGTTTACTGTCCTAGGCGGAAAGGGTTGACGAGCCCCGCCACGGTGGTCTTGTGGCTAAGGTACTCGGCTGCTGACCCGCAGGTCGCGGATTCGAATCCCGGCTGTGGCGGCTGCATTTCCGATGGAGGCGGAAATGTTGTAGGCCCGTGTACTCAGATTTGGGTGCACGTTAAAGAACCCCAGGTGGTCAAAATTTCCGGAGCCCTCCACTACGGCGTCTCTC